TGTTGTTTATCGCAGGGAGAGGCTTGCGTTATGAGTAAAAACACAGACACATGCATATGTATGTATGTATGCTATCTATCTATCTATCTATCTATCTATCTATATATATATGTATGTATATATAAATGTATAATATATATATATACATATATATATATATATATATATATATATATATATATATATAATATATATATATAATATATATATATATATAATATATATATATATATATATATGTGTATATATACATATATATATATTATATATATATATTATATATATTATATATATAATATATCGTATCTAGTATATATATTTACTCTCAACACCAAGCACTTGCCACAAATAAAGAATACCCAGAGTCAAGCAGACCACGGCGCGACAGCGTCGCCCGGGCCAGGATCCACACAGACCTTGCCCGGGCACCAGCCAAGCAGAGCCGGAGTCCAGCGAGTCCAGCGCGCGAGAGAGAGGCGGCGACGTCAGCGGTCCCGGGGTCCGAGCGCTCGTCGCCATCTGCTCACTGTCGGCGGCGAGTGGCAGGGCAGCGAGGGCGATGGGGCCAGGATGCGAGCGATGGGTGGCCCGGTGGCAGAGACCTCTTGCTAGGGTTGTTGCCATGGGGTTGGAGGCGGGAATGCGGGTACGGGAGGGGTGGGGAGGGGAGAGAAGGGGGAAGAAGAAGACCGGAAGGTAAGGAAGAAGGATACAAGAGGGACTTTAAGGAAGAGAATATGAAGAAATAGGTTAGTAAGAAAAGAAAACAGAGAGAGGATCGAGACTAATAAATAGGTCATTGATTGCCTAATCACTTATTCATTGATATAAAGTTATCAAAAATGAGTCACAGCAACATGCAAAATGACCCCCAAACAGATGGAATGAGAGTGAGGGAAGAAGGAAGGGAGAGGAGCAGATGAGTCATGAGTACAGTAAGGGGGGTTAGGGGCAGGGGACGCTCAGAACCCCATGGTCAGAACCGAGAGTGAAAAATAATTTAGTGTCACCATCCCCACATAGGATTTTATATGGACCCAAACCCCCAGAACCTCTTTGTTTGGGTTAGGATAGGTTAGGTTAGGTTTTAATTAGGTTAGGGGATATGAGCTGATTAGGTTAGATTGTGGGTTTTGTCGCCATGCTACTTCTCTCATCAGGGAGTGATCTGTGTTTCTCAACAGACGCCCTTACAAAAGACTTGTTTGCCTATCAAGGACGTGTTATATGTCAGAAGGGTGATATGAATGAAGATATTGCAATCTCTCTCTCTCTTCCTTCCTCCGATATATCACAATCAAAACAATGTAAGACAGTCAGCTGCCAGATACGATGCCATGCGAGTACATACCTAAACTGATAGGATGACAGGATACAGACATACCACATAAATACATTAATACGCAGTAATATCTAGACGAGTGGTGAGTAGCGAATAAACAAATGAAGATGAATAGACGCGGATGCCCCAGAAAAACAATGCCCTGTGACCATGTGACAAGGCATGATTCATGCACCCTCAGCACACTTCCTAGAGGACCAGAGGACCACTCACCCCTTCCCCTGTGCTGTGCTGTGCGTGTGTGTTTTCATATGTTCTGAAGCATATTTGTCCATGCGGTAGGTGGTTATGTGATATTTCTTGTTCCTTTACAAGAGAATGTCTTTTTTTCTTACATTCCTTCCTTTTTTGGCAGGATAGAACAAGAAATAAACACCAACGCCTTTTGTAAAAGGGTTTGAACATTTCCTTCAGATTCGCCATCAAAGCTCGCTTCCCCAATAATGCTTTTTCTTCCTACCATTGTCTTTACTTGTATAGGCCATCGTTTGCATTCTGAGGTGGTGGGTTAGCTCAGGTCAAGGGCAAAAGTTCATTCGAAAGCAAAGGGTAGGTTTGTTTGTCGGTAGCCGGGAGAAAGTGAGGGAGAAAAAGAGGAAGGAGGGAGCGAGAAAGTGAGGAAGAGAAAGGGGAGGAAGATGTATATAGAGGGATGGATAGATAGACCTATGGGTATGATAATATATATATATATATATATATATATATATATATATATATATATATATATATATATATATATATATGTATATATATATATATATATATATATATATATATATATATATATATATATATATATATATATATTATATATGTATATATATATGTATATATATGGATAGAGGAGGTATGAAGGGAGAGCAAGAAAGAAAAAAGAGAGAGAGAGAGAAACAGAGAGAAGAGACAGAGACAGACATACGGAGACAGAAACAGAAAAAAGAGAGAGAGAAAAAAAAAAAAAACGGAAACCTTCATTGTTTCAGTAAAGGAGAGAGAGAGCAGGATAGTTAGAAAGAGAGAGTAGGAACGAACGAGGAAGATGCGGCAGAACACACCACGAAATCATAATTGGCGTATATTTCCTGTCATTGCCATCCTAACCCAGTTCCATCTAACTTGGGCCTTTTCGTCTTTTTATCTTTGTTTTTTTTTGAC